TATAAAAAAAAACAATAAATGTTTTGACTGATTCATTTAAAAAAATTCATAGCCTACGTTTTAGTTCTTTAGGCTTCAAATGAAAAGGAAAAGCTTTTTTAAATAAACGAACTCAAACGTCAGCAAGTTAAAGCACGTTATATGTAAAAAAAAAACGTTGTTACACACACAGTTAAACGTGTGCAACACACGTAACACAGTGGTGAACGTAGGTAGCCAACCACGCCACGGTCCATATAATCAATGCCTAAGACATTCCAATCTGACCTGATCATAAAATCTTTCCTTTGTTTTTGGTTAAATGAGAAATGCACAAAGCTGATGTAATTGCATAATCGATTGTATTTTGTTCTAATACTCCTACGGATATAATCGATTATATTTTTCTTAATACGCCCACGTATGTGATCGATTTCATAAGCTTTTGTACGCATACTTAATTTTTCGACTTTGATCTGTGGCTGTTTTATTTTCTCTTTGTTTTTGGTGTTTTTATGTTGTTTTGAACAAACCACCAATCTTCCTTAATCGTATAACGACAACACACTTCTCCGAATAACCAACCTGCATTTAACACAACTCCTTTGCCCAGCCCATATCAATTATTTTTTAAAGCTCAACCAAAATACCACCCCCCCCCCCCCCACCAAAAAAAATTAATTTTTTTTTTAACAAGAAATGATTGTTATTTATTTAGTAACGGCCAATACCCCTATACAATACCATAAACATAACTCAAAATATTCAAAGAGCCGTTTTAATATTGGTGCGAAGTTGTCGATTTCCCAGACCACAGCCACGAACAACACGCCAACATAATGACAACCGAAACAACATGAGTGCGCATGACAAGAAAAACCACGATAGGCCGAGTCATTTTTAAAAATATTCAGTGGCACGTTTTTGACTGAATGGCTCGTCCAGTAGCGTACGCAGAGGGGGAGCAGGGGGAGCGACAGCTCCCCCTCTGGCCATTTTCAGCAAAGTGGCGCCTTTTTGGAAACTTTATATATATATATATATATATATATATATATATATATATATATATATATATATATATATATATATATATATATATATATATATATATATATGAATATATATATATATATATATATATATATATATATATATATATATATATATATATATATATATATATATATATAAAATACATGTATATAGAACGTGTTAAAAATTTGTCGCCTTTTTTGCTCATTTCGCTCCCCCTACAACGAAAACCTGGATACGCCTCTGGGCTCGTCATTGTTTTGTTTATCAACAGAGGCGATATGTTGATTGATATTTTTTAAGTGAGGCACAATGTCCGTCCTTTGTTATTGACTTTAAGCGAATTGGCAGTATACAGCAGAGGCGTAGCGAGGGTAAGGGAACGGGGCGTCAGCCTCGTGCGGCGACCGTGGGGAGGGGGGAGGGGAGGCGCAAACGAGCTAGAAAAAGAATGGGAAGCTCAGTTCAAGTTGAGAATGGCGATTAGCAATTTTCTCTTATCTTTACGGACATATTTAACTGTTTTCTACATTATTTGTGTGGCAGCAAAATATCGATAGGTAAAAAGACAACTCCAAAATCAACAACTGCTCCCTTGTAGTTTATTCTTAGTTGGAAAAAAGGCTATGAAAGCAAATCCAACAAGAAAAGCGGGCTGAAATCTGTGTCAACGGCCTAAATTGCGCTTAACAAGTTGTGCTGAAGGGATTCCCTTTCAACACTAAAATTAATAAAGAAGAAGAAGAATTGGTAGTTGGTGGTCACTATACTGTTTAGTTGGTGGTCATTATCCTGTTTAGTTAGTTGGTGGTCATTATACTGTTTAGTAAGTTGGTGGTCATTATCCTGTTTAGTTAGTTGGTGGACATTATACTGTTTAGTTAATTGGTGGTCATTATACTGTTTAGTTAGTTGGTTGGTCATTATACTGTTTAGTTAATTGGTGGTCATTATACTGTTTAGTTAGTTGGTTGGTCATTATACTGTTTAGTTAGCTGGTTGGTCATTATACTGTTTAGTTAATGGGTGGTCATTATACTGTTTAGTTAGTTGGTGGTCATTAGACTGTTTAGTTAGTTGGTTGGTCATTATACTGTTTAGTTAGTTGGTGGTCATTATCCTGTTTAGTTAGTTGGTGGTCATTATCCAGTGAGCTTATCTGTGTAACTACTTTATTCCGTTTCAGATGGTCAACCGAATGTCGCTAAGACTACAAAAAATGCCTCGCGGGGGTCGCCCACACATTGCTGGTCACTTAATAATAATACGATTCATATCAATGTGCTAAATCTGAACACACAAGGCTTAAGAAACACGTCTCTATTGATGCGTTGTACACACGAAGCCCACATTAGGAATCAATCGTGTTGCTATAAATCTGCCATATAAAGACCCAAACGCTTTGATGTAGATTTGCAACAAAGGACCTTGCTTAGCAACAGCTTGAATGTGGGCAACTCCACGAATCAGCAGACCGTATCGGTTAACTGTTTTGTTTGTGCTGTTATAACTTCAAAAGGGAAGGGGGGATGTTTAGATAAACATTTCTCCAACGTGGGTGGATTTAGCCTATACCTTTTGTTTTATTTGTTTAGAAAATGAACGTCCGCCTAGGCTTATGTACAACCCCCATCCGCTTACATTGTACATTATTATAATCAGAGGCGTGGAACAGTAAATAATTAGAGATATGATTTCAATGGTTGAATAGGTATGTGGTTTGACGTTTGAAGTTGAATTTCTTTTTCTGAATTCTATAGCGTTCTTGTCAGATAGAATTTTTGTTTATGTTTTCTCTAGAGCGTTCTTGTCAGACAGAGCGTTCTTGTCAGATAGATAGATAGATACACAGACAGCGAAACTATTATTATAGACTAGATAAATGGCCCGTTGAGGAAGGGTACAACGGGCGCTAGGCTGATAGTGCTGTCTCTTTTCTCTAAACTAAAACCAACCCACCCCCCACACACCACCCCCACCCCACCCCCCACCCCCACACGCCACCCCCACCCCCCACCACACACCACCCCCACCCCAACCCCTCACCCCCACACACCACCCCCTCCACACACCGCCCCCCCACCCCCCACCCCCCCCCAAAAAAAAACATGTCTACCGTCCCATTCAACGAAATATAATTATATACTTTTTCCAGTGTCCGCCCCCTCCCAGAATATTCTACCCCCGCCCCCGAAAATTTCAAGTACCCCCACCCCTCTCCGGGGAGGAAAAAGTCTGAAAGAAACACTGAAACCAACCCACCCCCCACACACCACCCCCACCCCTACACACCACCCCCCCACCCCTCCACCCCTCCCCCCCCCCAAAAAAAAAAACATGTCTACCTTCCCATTGCAAGAAAACCACTTTTTAGATTAGACACATTAATTAGGCTGTAATTTTATTATAGAGTATCGATGAGGAAATTTCTTTTGAGTTGGGGAGGGGGGGGGGGGGGGGGGCTCAGACGTTCTTACGCGGGGGGTGGGGCTTCGCCCCTACCCGAAGAATTGTATGCAAGAAACTCTTCACGCAAACCATTTAGATTAGACAACATTTCCTTTTTTTCAATGTTTACGCGATAATCAATGACGTCATATGACTGTGTGCACTCTCTGGTTTGAGATTATGTTCTACTCTACGCTAAATGTGTCGACGTCATATTTCGTTTTTCGAATTACTGTGCATGTTTTTATTTTGCTTGTGTTTTCTCTAGAGCGTTCTTGTCAGACAGAGCGTTCTTGACAGACAGCGAAACTATTAGGTTAGCGTTAACAAAAAAAAAATACTTAAAAAAAATTAACCGCGAATGTTTAGTGAATAGTATGCAATTTTACTCATGGTATTAAAACAGTTATCAAGAGTAGTTCATATTGAGTCTACTAGAAAATGTTATTTTAGTGCTTATTAATTTCCATACGTATTTCGGCTTTTTAATTCTATGGGAGTCACTTAATTTTTATAAAAGGGGGTCGCCACTCGAAAAAGGTTGAGAACCACTGGTCTAAATTATCTGTGCTTGATATGCTTATGCTGGAGGTTGTTAAGGGCGGGAAACCTAAGACTTTAAAAAAAAAGCAAAACCCAACTCCTCGTTTGCTTTATCAGTAGATACTTTGTTGTGGTTGTCAGCCTCCACGCGGTCTCTGCAGGGTAGTGTCAGGCCGTCGTGATCACGACACAGTTTATCACCGTGATGCCTCCGTCTTACTGGTGAAGGCTGCGACAATACAGTGGCGTAGCGAGGGGGGGGGGGGCGGGGTGCGGACCGCACCGGGTGACACCATTTAGGGGGGTGACACCAAAGCAAAAAAAATAGCAAATAGAAAAATTATAATTCCACTTCATTAAGTGATTAATTCGAGTGTTAAATAGTCTTTTAAGAGGTGCAAATCGAAAGTTTGAGGGGGGTGTGGGGTGCAAATCGAACGTTGAAAGTTTGTGCCCAGGAATGTCGCTACGCCTCTGGGGGGTGACAACATTAAGTGCAGCACCGGGTGATACCCGACCTTGCTACGCCACTGGCCCACACACAGATAAAAGATTTGAACTATATCCCTGTTTCCAAGGGTAGATGTCTATCCACAAGACATAACATTGTTGGGGAGATAAAAAATGTAACTATTTACCAACCAGATACCTAATCACATAGAGTTAATGTCTGTGCACTAGAGCCCTGGACCTCAAACTCTGTTCATAGATTGAAGAGCTAAATTAATAAAGTTTGTAAGAGAAAAAAAAGTGTATGATCATTTAATATTAAGCCAGTTATTTCTTTTTATTTTGCAATTGCATTTAAAACTTTAAATAAATGTAACATTGTATTCATATAAATGTTATCTAAGCGTCTATTCAACTGTATTTCCCAATTATATTCGCTCCATAACTTTGTATAAAATGTATCAAAATATTGAAGAAGATGTGGAGACACCTTTGGATTTTTATAGCGCGTGCGATTAAACACAAGAATTTGAGTGGGTTCACATTAAGATCCTATAAAATATACAGCGCGCTTCTCCATTGTTATTGAGTTGTTGAAGACATTAGAATCACAACACACTGGTGAGTCTTCCTTTTGTTAGATTCTTAATTGGGTTTAACTTTACAAATTTTAAATATTGATAGTGGATGGATTGTATTTTATTTAAATAGAAATACATTTTTTTCTTATTATTTCTATATCAGCTTCTTAAACGTTATAGCAAACGTTTAGAGTTATACATGTAAAGTTATTTTATGGTGAATTTTCATTAACTTATCAACTTAGATTTATTCAAAATGGGTATAATCTGTTTATTAGAAACACTGATTAAATAAGTCCATGTTTCCAACAGAGATGTTTTTATATGCTGAAAGATCTTCAGTGTAGTTATTTCTATTAATAATTGTTCGAAGTAACTCAACTGTTGTTGTATCTATATACACTAGACGGTGGCGTAGCAAAGTCGGGTGTCATCCGGTGCGGCACCTAATGGTGTCACCCCCCCTCCCTCCCCGAAGAAATGTTTTAAACATATCTCATCTATAATATATATATATATATATATATATATATATATATATATATATATATATATATATATATATATACATATATATATATATATATATATATATATATATATATATATATATATATACATATATATATATATATATATATATATATATATATATATATATATTACTTTAACCCTTATTAGTATGTGTATACGCAAGAGTATATGTATTTAAATAAGTCAATTTTTTCTGAATGTATTTAATTTTTATTTTTAAGTTTAGCGCTTATGACAGAACTTTATCCTTAACATGTAATGTATAGGAAAAAGTAAAATAGCTATTAAATACAAAATTTTTACAACGTTTGAATCAAATTCTTATAATTTAACATGCCCTATAGAATAATATACACAAAATTTGAAGATCAAACTGACTTAAGGCGTGAATTAATTGTTTCAAAGATTTTATGGCGACAAAAAGCATCAAATTTTGTCAATATGGCAAGCCAATCAGTTCGATTCATCTGTTGCTCGCTTTTTATTTCTTACGAGCCGACCCGCGGCGTATCATACGCCGCTAATTAGTTAATTTATTTTCTACTGTTCAGTAATTCATAATTAGTGAATTCGACAGTACCAATTTAGTTGTTTTATTTTATCCTTTTCAGTTATTCATAATTTGTGAATTCGACAGTACCAATGCTGCCACTGAAAATATTTGCTTTAAAACACTATCAGTAGGTCGTTAAGAACGATACTACCCCCACCCTCCTTTCCCCCAACCCCTACCCCACACACCCTCCCCCCCCCCCCTACGTAAAGCTGCCTCCTCTTAGTTACCTCCCCTAAGTTTAAAATCGTTTCAAACTAAATTATCTGCCCCTAATAGTCGTCACTAAACCCGGCTCTACGATTGTAAACATTTAGCGTGAACCAAACCTCACCAGACCATGTAGGGTTGGGGGTGGTAGGGAGCGCGCTTACAGCTTGTTTTCTAGCGCCTTCAAGAAGAGAATTATATATATTGATTATAACCTTTATTCATTTTTGTCTCTTAATTTTTCTTAGCTTAATTTATTTACAATGATTTTAGCCAATCCAATTCGGTAGACGTTATATTTGGTGTCACCCCCCTTAAATCTTTGTCGAATGGTGTCAAATCCTGCAGACACTATATTATTCCACCTAGAAAACGCATTTAGGGACCCATCTCTAACAGTTATTAATTCTATCGCGAAAAAAAATTGTTTTTGTAGTAAGTTATACAATTTTGTGTCACCCCCCCCCCGCACACACCCTAAACGTGGACTGACATTTCGATTCTCAACAACCCCCCCCCCCCCCCCAACACACACAAACTGCGATAGCTTTAAACTGTGATCAAATAATACTAACGACGTTTATCTATAATTGGTTATTAATACAGCTGGACGTAGTAGGTTTTTGTCATGGTCATGTTGTCATTCCTCACCCCCTTGTCGGGACTTGTCATCTTTGCTTTTAAAAGTCTGTTTAACTCTGATTAATCATTTATGTAATTGGAATGATTTTTTTCTGTACACATTTTGGAATTTTTAGCCTTGGTGTCGACCCCGTAAATGTTGTCACCCGGTGCGGTCCGCACCCCCCCCCCCCTCCCATCGATACGCCTCTGACACTAGTACCAACGAATTACCATCTATTTCTAAAGACTGTAGCTCGACTTAAACACTGTCTAATGGTTTCTAAACACCCGAACTAGAAAAACGCCTAGTCTAGTTATTTCTCTAGAAATAAACTCAAACTACCGTAACTATAGCTATATGAATAACAAAACAAGTTATTGTACTACATACTACAGTTGTTTCTTTCAATATTTCTACATATATATATATATATATATATATATATATATATATATATATATATATATATATATATATATATATATATATATACGTAGTATGTTTAGGGATGATCCTGAAAGATAACAAAACCAACACCGCGTTGGCGTTGCAGATTATAGTGCAATTGCAAGTAAATAGGTAGATCAAGTACGAGCACAATGGATACAGGACATTACCCCCCCCCCCCCCCGAACAGTCAATTACCCCCAGGACATTTACCCGCACTTTACCCCCCCCCCCCCCCCCCGAGAAATTACCCCCTATCAATTACTCGCCTGTCGATTACACCCCCCTCCTGTAAGTAGAAGCCTAGCTTTAACTCAAATTATATACCTATGTATTACCTTAACCCTAACCTTAAGAAAAATGCTAAAACCTAAACATTCAGATAAACCTAAAACTTAACACAAAACCATTGGAGCCGAGCTTTGACCCTAGCCCTAACCCTAACCCTAGTCCTAACCCAATCACTAATGTTAACCCTAGCTGTACATTAAGCCACGTCCGGGGGGGGGGGTAATGTCCTACTGGGCGGGGGGTAATTACTCCGGGGTGGGGGGAGAATCATCGGGGGGGGGGGGGGGAATATCCGGCGGGAGGTGGTAATTGACGGGGGGGGGTGATGCCCTGTTTCCGAACGCAATTACTTTTAGCCCTAAAACAAATGTAGACAAACATTCCTAATATATGAGAGGACATGTGCGTAGGCCTACTTCTCTCTTTCTCTCTCTCTCTCTCTCTGGCCGCATCCCCAGAGCTTAGAAATCAGTATATTTAACGATATATGGAGAACTTAGAAATACGGACTTTTTTTTGAAAATAATATGTTCGATGTTTTAAATGGAAAAACTAAATTTTATTGAAGGAAGAAAACAACAAAATGACCACTGAAAAGCCAGGTTTTAAGCCCCTTAATCAATGTGTGTGCATTTAATATGTCGTTTTGTTGACTAATAGTGTAGGCCTACATAATTTGAATTTAATTTTTCTTATAGGAATTGGTAGCTTATGATATTTAAAATGTGTCGGAAGTTTAGCTACTTAATATCTTTGGTTTGCCAGTAATGTGGTTCAACATGTAGTAAAACACATAGCGTGTTGACCAATAAATATTTTATAAATTACGTTTTCTAAATTAGTACAACAGTAAAATATATACTGGCCTATAATCAACGTGAAACAGGTATCCTTGGCTAGTAGATTAAATATTTGGATCCACAATTACGTGTTGGCTAAATCAAATTCACAAATCAAAATAGGGTTACTGTGATGACGCAATGTTGCGTCGAAGCCAGGTAGATAGCAGAAATAGGCTTTAGCGTGTTAGTCAGAGGTAGACCAATGGAAATTCAGAGACTGACCGGTCACGTGGTATGGTCAGCTGACCACTGAGGCGTGGGGCAGTAGAGCGATAGGCCAGAAGGGTTAGGTAGCGGTCAGAGACGGCCGAGAATGTAAATAGTTAGGAGATCATGATTAGCTAGCGAAGGTAGAAGGTGTTACGTTGTAGAATGTAGAGAACAGTTAGTGTTAGGATTGGTCATGGGAGTTAGTAGTATAGTGAACAGTCAGTAGTAGTAGTAAACAGTAGAGAGTGTAGAATAGGCTGGTTAGATAGAACTGATTATAAATTTAATAAAGAACAATTATAGTTGAACTTGAGGTGTGTGTTGTTGGATTCATTCGTTCCGCCTTCTTAAAAAATCCTCACCCTCACAATTGGTGGAGCGCGGGTCGAGTAAGGGAAAGAACGTATATCAGCTATTCATGACGGAGTATGACTGGTGTATTGCTTTCTCTAACTCATCACAACAGCGGGTTTCTTTAGCCGGAGCGAATTTTGAATAACAACACAAGGGAACTGTCACCATGTCCAAAAAGATAAGTACCTTCCAAATTTTTTTTAAACGTTTGGGTTTATACCCGTGCTGGATAGTTTGTGCCAGCGGTTTTTCTGCCTTACACATTCTATTGTTACGCACTGTTGCCTTAGTTATTTTGACTTCCTCAACACACACACATACACATACACAACCATGGAGGCAGAGTTTCAATGCTATAAACAGGGCATAACATTAGACAAAACAGGTGAAGAAGTTGAAACATTTGTAGAGAATAAGTTAGAACAAGATAGTCAAGATAGTAAGAAATGTCAAGAACAAAAGCAGAGTTAGCGTTAGAATTAGTGAAACGGAAAGTACAACACATAGATAACACGCAACTGCCCTAGAACATCAACCCCATGACCAAAAATGTGACCCCGACCGTCCCCCTAAAAGATTTTGAACAACGGACATAAGTGAAGTCAGTCATTAAGTCAAAGTGATATCGTTGAAATCTTTGAAATCAAAGTGAAGTCTTTGAAGTCATTTTGAAGTCGTTGAAGTCAAAGTGAATCTTTGAAGTCATATTGAAGTTGTTGAAGTCAAAGTGAAGTCTTTGAAGTCATATTGAAGTCTTTGAAGTCATATTGAAGTCAAAGTGAAGTCTTTGAAGTCATATTGAAGTTGTTGAAGTCAAAGTGAAGTCTTTGAAGTCATATTGAAGTTGTTGAAGTCAAAGTGAAGTCTTTGAAGTCATATTGAAGTCGTTGAAGTCAAGGAAAAGTCATTGAAATCAAAGTGAAGACGTTTAAGTCGTCGAAGTTTAAGTCAGTCAGTGAAGCCTTTTAAGTTGAATTGAAGTCAGTCAGTGAAATCTGTCGTCTAGGTCAAGTTAGTCGGCAAATGGAATCGTCGAAGTAAAGTTAATCGTGAATGGGAAATAAGTCGTAAATTGAAGTCAGTGAAGTTACTGAAGTCAGTAAAAGTGAAATAAGTCAAGTTACTGAAGTCAAAAGTGAAGTCAGTCATTAAGTCAAGCCAGCCAGTTTTTGTCAGAAGTCAGATAGTGAGAGCTGCTCCACTATATGATTACGTGTTCAAATGTTATTTGAAACGGCACGATTATTATATACACTCACATGTCTATTCTTTTTGTGAAGCTATTTCTAAGCTCTAGTAGTGTTTACGTCTATTGAGTTTATTAGGCTTTACAGATTGTTGTTAGATTAAAGTGTACTGATTTTTTTTTATTTGGTTATATGTTGTAATGTTATTTTTTTATGGTTTTTATGCCGCCAGACAAGTGTTCAGCACGTATAAATTTGGGATTGAGTTTTTTTTAATGGAAGGTACCTCTGTCTGAATACTTGTCTGCGCGGGCAATAAAAAGTCCACGTAAAACCATTGCTCATGGTCTCGTAATACAATTTCAGACCCACTACGCTTATTCAGAATGAGACGAGATGAAGCAGACACTTCAAAGAATGCCGCCACCTGAAGCCCTGATTACGTTGAGTTACCTGGACAGCGAACAGCCCTGCCGAACAGCGAATTGCCCTGGTCAAGATAGCGGACGCATCGCCACCGCTTCGCCCCCGCACTGGAGTTGAATAACAGACCGCCAGCTACGTACACCTACGTCGGCACATACAAAGGGTAGAAGACCCATCGTCCAAGTTCCCAGCGTCGGAATGTTACGTCATTGTTCACCAGCGCATCAGACAGCTCCAGTTCATCGTATAACCACTCTACGTGGACGTCTCAACCAGCGTTGAGTTTGTTGCGTCATCACATTGACCAACGAAAGTTACGCCTACACCCGCCTCACGGGAACTTACGTAGACCAACGCCACAACCCACCCACCACAGATGAACGCCAATAATTACATAACACTTACACACACACACACTTACACTGCTCGCAGAGCCCGTTCAACCAGTTACACATTACCACTACATTCACTCAAGGCCAGTACACGACAACCTAGCCAGAACTGAGTTGCACATGATTGGATTCACACATACCATGAAACATAGACATACATTATCAAGCAGAGACACCACAGACGTCAGGATACTTGCACGAGAACTAGAACAATGACATTTTTTTTTCAGGAACACAGACACAAGATTTTATGTTTTTGTAAACTGTGCTGTCCCATTTTGTATTTGATTTATATGATTGATGTTAGGGATAGAATAGAGTAGTAAGACAGATAGTTGTTGATGTATTAGATTAGTAGCAGACGCTGAAAAATATAATTTGTCAGCTACAGAAAGGGAGGGAGATATGTGATGACGCAATGTTGCGTCGAAGCCAGGTAGATAGCAGAAATAGGCTTTAGCGTGTTAGTCAGAGGTAGACCAATGGAAATTCAGAGACTGACCGGTCACGTGGTATGGTCAGCTGACCACTGAGGCGTGGGGCAGTAGAGCGATAGGCCAGAAGGGTTAGGTAGCGGTCAGAGACGGCCGAGAATGTAAATAGTTAGGAGATCATGATTAGCTAGCGAAGGTAGAAGGTGTTACGTTGTAGAATGTAGAGAACAGTTAGTGTTAGGATTGGTCATGGGAGTTAGTAGTATAGTGAACAGTCAGTAGTAGTAGTAAACAGTAGAGAGTGTAGAATAGGCTGGTTAGATAGAACTGATTATAAATTTAATAAAGAACAATTATAGTTGAACTTGAGGTGTGTGTTGTTGGATTCATTCGTTACCGCCATCATAAAACCCCCACCCTCACAGTTACTAAACTAGCAGCCTTGTCATAAAACAATACAACAGAAAGTTACGGCCAGTATATTAATATAGGCACGGCCAACAAGTATTACAAATATAATTTACTTCATCTATCAAGTCCGCAACATGTGATACTAATGAAAAAATTTGAACTAAAGTAATATAAATATAATTGACTTTACACAACTAGTCCACAACTAGCGGCACTATGCACTAGTATAAAAATAAAAATAAACTGTAAATATAAAAAAAAAAAAAAAAATTACAATTCTTTCATTAGGTCTATACAGGAGACGCAACCAAATAAAATGTAAATAATCTCCCCTGATTGGTATCCCATAGTATGAGTTATACATACACACACACACACACACATATATATATATATATATATATATATATATATATATATATATATATATATATATATATATATATATATTTATATATATATATTTGTTGATTGAAATATAAATACATTCCGAAACGCAGGTTTACAGTATCAGTAACCATCTAGATACAAACATGGGACTAGACATTTTAACGATTCTACTGTCAGTTCTGGTGCTGCTCAGTGGATCATCCGCTCTGGGTAAGGAATACTTTATCGCCTATAACCTGGTGGTTTGCCCTGAATCTACTTGTTGTCTTACGATATTTACACAATAGATAGTGACTTATTATATTATCTCAAGTTTTAAATATTACCCGACTTAAAGATGATATACATTTTCAGACTGTGGAGACGGATGGACTCTTCGTGCTGGTACTACACTCTGCTATCGTCTTGAGACTGCCGGTAAGACTTGGGACAACGCTAAAGATGCGTGCATTGGCTTTGGTGGAGGTTTGACCACAGTTGATGATACCGCTGAGAAAGCTCATGTTGGAGGTAATGCTAACCGTGTGATGTTGTTTAAAAAATAGAGACAATATGTTGTATCATTTGTATATTATTATAGATCTTCATAAACTTCATAAAAAAGGTATATAGCCTACTGTGTAAAACCATACGAGTGTCGTTGAAAATAAAATACAAATGTTCCGAAGCTTGTGTACGTGTTCTATCAAAAGCATTGATTGTGAAATCAAAACTCTAATAGTAGATGTCTCTAATCCATTGTGACTTTAAATTGTAATTAATGCCCAAGTTGGCAATCCAAAAGATTTGGGTAAAATAATGTAAATTGGGTCTGTCACTTTGACGCATATACGAAGGACGTGCTACCGCCACCCGCGCGTAGCGCAGCACGGACGCTAAGCTAGTTCAATTTCTTTACACATTTAAATAAATACATTTTTAAATATTCTGCGTTGTTATTGTAAACTTGTTTGTACTTGTCTTTAAATATGTTGGTGCTGAATTCCAGCCATGTCAGATATAGCTAACAATTACATGTGGATTGGACTGACGGACTTGGAGGGTCAAGGCATCTGGAACTGGCAAGCTTCACCGTGTATGTCCTTCGTCGACTTCCGAGCAGGTAAACATTTTATATGAATAAATCAAATATATATGTATATATATATATATATATATATATATATATATATATATATATATATATATATATATATATATATATATACGAATTAAACTTTCTCTTTCATTTTTTCCCTTTCATTATTGAGTATAGTACATTTTAATTTTTTTTAATTGAATAATTAGATGAAAAATAGATATGCTTGCATTGTCATCGAAGTAGAAGATATCTGAAAAAATTAAAGAACACCACGGCATTAGATTTCAAATTTAATTTGAGTTACAAAATATGCACACCACAAATCAGTTTTAAACAAGTCAAAATGCAACAAGACACTTTTATTCCAATTAATTTTCATTTTAATTTGATGGAAATTTTAAAGTTATGTAAATGATGTTATCCAATACTCGCGCTTTGTAATAATTGATTTTAAAACTCCTCAAACCGTGCATTTTCGATTAGCGATAGGGGTCGGCGTTTTCGAGTCGGTAAAGCTCGAGTTTGAACCCTCGGGCAGATGAGGCTCGTTAGCTGTGGACAGCCACTCTTCAAGGAGAGACAACACCAAAATCAAACAACTGCTGCCTTGTAGTTTGTTCTTGGTTGGACAAAGGCTATGGAAGCAAATCCAAAAAAGAAAAGCAGGCTGAAATCGGAGTCAATGGCCTCAGTGGCGCATAACTAGTTGTCACGTATACATAAATGTGTTGGAGGGGATCCCTTCCAACACAAAAAAATAAAAAAAAAACAAAGAAAGAGAGAAGAAGAGGATTACCGGTACTGTAAGTCTGAAAAGTTAAAATCGCACAAAATTATATGCAAATAACTCCACCAGGAGAACCAAATTATGGTAACGGTGGAAGGGAATGTGCCATGCTTCTTAAGAAAGGTAGCAACTACCAATGGGACGACGTTAGATGCTCCAACTTGTTCCCATACGTTTGCAGAAAAGATATAGGTGAGTATATATTTCAGTTTTTAATGTAATGAAAGAACATAAGTTACGCATAAATAAATGATACAAAATAATTGTTTTAATGTAAAAATGTAAATATTTATATATATCTATATTTATATATATATATGTATATATATATATATATTTATATATATATATATATATATATATATATATATATATGTATATATATACATACATATATATATACATACATATATATATACATATATATATATATATATATATATATATATATATATATATATATATATGAAGGGCTCAGTGGAAAAAGTACTTAAGTTACATTTTTTCAAAAATGAGTTAAGACCGGTATACTATTTGACTACCTCCCCTTAACCACCCCTGTAAATTTGGGCCATGGAAAAAGTACCGAAGTAGCTTAATTTGAATACTCTGCATCAGCTGTTTTGGTATTTCAATAACAATTTAAAAACTTTGCACTCATTTTTCTCAAAACTATCAAAATACACTTAAGTACTTTTTCCACTGAGCCCTTCATATATATATATATATATATATATATATATATATATATATATATATATATATATATATATATATATATATATATATTTATTTATTTATTTAGTTATTGTTTATACATATAGTTTTTTTGTTAACAATACTTGTCTTAACTTCAATTAATTTTTTAAAATCTATAAACAGGTCCACAATCAGAGAATAATACGGTAAATATAAATACATAAAATAATATATGGTTGAACCGCTTTGTATATTTGTCGATAATTACAACAACTATTTTTTTTATTAAAAAGTGGGACACGATGTCTCATATGTCCCCGTTCAATATTTCACAATGTCATTTTATTGAAATAGATATATATTTAAAGTCAGGTTCTTGGTCTATATTTTATTTATTTAAGCATACATCCATTTATTACCATTACTCAATTACTTAACTGTCACACTTTTCGTTTCCCCTGATCCACTTCTCACGACCATGAAACATTTTAATGTTTTTATCATAAGTCTACATTTTCTAAACAGAGTCTTAAAAACTATGTCGAAACAAGTAAAATATCATATTACATTGACTGGAATAAGTTTAAGATTATTCTGGACAACATGTTTTGTTGAGGTGTAAAATAGTTTTACCAATTATTGGTGTACCACTTCTCTACGCTCTATTTATATATATATATATATATATATATATATATATATATATATATATATATATATATATATATATATATATATATATATATATATATATATATATATATATATATATATATATAATTAGAAGAATAAATAATTTACATTATTAGTAGAAAAATAAATCGTTTCACTATCCTGCGACGCGGAATTAAAGTAGCCTACATCTGATGAGCCTATTAATTGAATACGATGTTTAATGTAGAATTTAAAATGTGAAAAGTATTTTTTGTAATTTAAAGTTAAAGTGAAACATCAAATAAAAATATGAATGTGTTATTTTTGAATTCCTAAACCTTTAGAACATTTCACTTTAAACAACGTTTTTTTCGCTTCGCACTTTTTATTAGTCAGTAACAGTAAAAGCTGAATACTATGGTGTGTATTTTCTTACATATGAATAAAGTGTCTTTTGCTTAGGACTGTGATAACTCGTGTAAGACAACTACTGACTGTGTAGGATACACCTACAAAAGCGGCGAATGTACCCTACACGTGAAGAAGGCCGCAGGCTCTAGAAATGGTGTAACAACTACCATCGTTACATGTGTGAAATGTGAGTCTGTTTAAATAAAAAGTCAGACTTCCAATACACAAAAGTTTATCTCGACCTAACACGATAGTATAATTAAAATATCATAAACGTTAATTCGTTTATAAAATAGAAGCCTGCGTATCTTATTTCAAATTAACATAAGGTTCTAGATCAATTTGATTATTGTATTAATTACTTACCAGGCCTCAGTTTTCTATAAACACAGGTATCCAAAAAGATATACCTTTAGCTAATAGTAGAAAACCTACTAATCATTTCTACTTATCAATTTTGCATACATGTACATACTGGTAATAGTCTATTAAAAAACGAAACCAACTTATTACTCTTTATAACAACAAAAAGGTCGGACTTTTATTAATTGTGTGAACAAAGAAAAACACTCTCTAAACATTATTTATTCAACAAGACGCTTACAAACAGGCCAAAAAGCGCATTATAATACCGTATATTTAAAAAAAAAAATTCTTTTTATTCATATGATACAATTTCCGCCCCTATGAAGTAGATGAGTAAAATATCTATTTTTAATTCAGAATTGTTTCATAATTTTTTCGATGTTAATTTTTTTATAGATTTTAGTTATAAAAAAAAATTAAAATAGCCTGTGCAACATGCAAACTTAAAATAATATTCACAGCTTGTATATCTCTTATCTCTTAATACCAGTGGTTGCACCTTCTACGGCCGCACCCACTCCACAAACCCCTGCTCCTGCTGCCCCAACCCCAGCTCCAGTCAACAACAACCCAGCCCCGGCCCCCATGACCCCACCACCAAGAAGACACAGACACTGGTGGTCAGGTAAGAAGATAATATTTACCTGTCAAGAGCTTTGGTTTACTACGTAAAAATTTAGAAATAATTTAAAAAAACCCATTATATTTACTTCATACATTTTAATACAAATATTAAAAAAGGCATGCAGTTTACTTTACACATTTTGTAACTAATATTTAAAACAACTAGTTCTTTTTATTCATACATTTAAAAAACAGATTTAAAATATCTACACAGTTTACATTACACGTTTATAACCAATATTTAAAATATTTAGTTTTTTCATATATTGTAAAACAAATATTAAAAAAAAAATTCTGTTTTCTTCATATATTTTTAAATAAATATTCAAAAAGATGTATTAAATTTACTTCATAATTTATAAATATAAATATCCAATGATAGGAAAGACGCACACACACAAACATATATATATATATATATATATATATATATATATATATATATATATATATATATATATATATATATATATATATATATATATTGGCATGGTGATATGAATTCTGTAGATGGTGATGGTGATGGCGATAGTGCTGCTGTAGATGGTGATGGTGATGGTGATGGCGATAGTGCTGCAAATGGTGATGGCCATAGTGCTGAGGATGGTGATGGTCATAGCTCTGAGGACGGTCATGGTCATAGTTCTGAGGAGGACGACCTGATATACGAGCGATCACGAGGGTAAGTATGTCTAAGATTTATAAAGTTGGAAACAATAAAGGAGTTGATACTAAATCGAACTTGTATTGCACACCTATGCTACGTTGAGGAGATCTTTCAACCTCTTTCTAGAAATCGTATGTCAGGTTAACGAATAGATTAAACTGAACTCTGTTTGGTATAACTTGATACATTTACTTACATGAGCCAAATCTCTATAGATGAACAATGTATCGCTATGACATAAATCTGACATGACATATTATCGTTAAATGTTCTGGTTTCCACCTAGGTCCCATTCCCACAGCGCGTCTGCTGATTATGACCGAAGGCGACCTCTATCCCCTGCTGCTGCAAGAAGAATGCGTCTGGTAATAATGCGCTTGCTTTTTTAAAATTGCTTTTTAAACCAATATGGAACACTTTCAAGTTTTATATAATGTCTTTTTTTACTTTTTTTTTCAGATTCAACGACTCCTTGAAGAGGAATATGACGATTTCGAAAACAGTAGGATGCATTGCATAAATAATATATATATATATATATATATATATATATATATATATATATATATATATATATATATATATATATATAATTTAGTTATCAGTTGGCCTATCTGTTTCGGTATCTGTATCTGTAAAGAAATTTAGTTATCCTGACCTCAAGTTTTCGTGCTATTTTAACAGCCTCCTCGAAACTGCAACTTACAAATCATAAAAAGAAAAAAAAAAGCTTTCCAGATGCCATCTTTATTTATATTGTATGTAAAATTAACACTTTCCCAAGAATAGCCACAACACTTTTAATTGGTTTAAAAAATACTATCTTTAATCCAATTAGAAATACTTACAACCTAGTGGTGTGTAATTCTCTTACATAAATTTTAATTCAATATTCGCAAACCCGGCCGTATAGTAGGTCAGAAAACTAGTTCTTCAGAAATCTGAAATTAAGATTTGACTGGGCTTTTACTATTGCGTTTATAATAGAGACAACTATCAGAGCTATCTTTCTTAATTTTATCATTTAGCCAGTATAAAAATGTTTAGAATTAACTACAAAATTATGAATATTAAAGCTTATTTTTTATAAAATGTGTTTAATATTTGGTTTTGGTTATCTTACAGGAGACAGGCCCAACTGTAAATCCCCGGACAAACTCAACTATGTCGTCATCAATAATAATTAGTGACGTCAACACCTTCAACCTTTGAACACAAAAGTGTAAACAGGCATTTCATTGTTAACTATTAACATTTAACATGCACCCGTTTTTAGACAACAGTTAAGGAGTGTTATATTTATTATTAATGTGACAATTGTATCAGTGATAAAGACCAACATCTTAACATTTCTATTGCAAACATTTGTTTTCTTTGCACCAAAAACACATAATTAAGTAATCTGTATGATTTAAATTGAATAATAGAAGTACTATTTTTAAAATGTGACCCACGTTTTGTAGTTTGGATAGTTCAACATTTTGTTTGAAAAAAAATGAAAATACTTTAAGTAAGATTTTTATTTAAATTAAAGTAAAATTGAAATTAAAGAAATGTCTCATTAAAAATTTTGTGTTTTTCTTAATGTTTTTTTTTACTTATTGTAACCATGCACACATATCATATGAAATTTTAACAGTATTCACCGTTTTAAACCTCAGTACTTCATCATAGTATTCGGAGTATACAGGACTTATATTTTAAACAATACTAAATCGAGATTAATCAAAATCGAAAAAAACTGGGCTATGCAATTTTGTTTGTGTCATTGTGTCAGTAAACTCGATAACGTGTGCACCGTTTCAGTTATGTTGACGAAGTTTACATATATTAAATTATTAATGTTGTAACAAATTTAAAACGATTTCCAATTATAGGAAGTAGTACTTACTCAACGTCCTGTTTCTGAAAAGCAAATATCATTAGAAACGTTTATGATAAGTGGAAGAAATTTCAAATACAAGTAATACATTGTATACGCATGCTTCTGTCATATTTAAACACATTTCTGCAAACGAAAATTGTATTTTACACTTTTTACTCCTGAAGACTACATGAAAACCATTCCAGGTAGTTAGACTAAAATGTGTATATAAGTACAAGATCTCATACATAAATTACTTTCAATGTTTTAGTGACCTCAACTAAACTCAAGTTGTACTTCACTATATTACTGTATTCTTTAATACAGATAACTCTAGTACCTTTTCAGTTATGTGGACAAAATTGTATACGATGTGACAAGATCTTATTCTCTTGATTCTGTCAAATGTTAAATGATTTCCGGTCAACGAAATTATTAATACGTCCGATTTCTGAAAACAGATTACTTACACCGGACCGATTTCTTTAAAAATGTGCACGTAGGTCAAGATTTGATGACAATGCACCGTGGCATAAAATGTGATTTATTTAGATACTTCATTTTTTTTAAAAATATAATTATTTTTCTTAAAAATCGTAGGCCTACTAATTTATCGCTCTATTATGCACACATTGTTTACGTTCAATTGGTTCACAATTACCGTTTCTTCTCGATTCTATTGCACGTCTATTAGGTGCGCAATTACCTTTTTACAAGCTTTTATTTAACTCACTTCCTCGCCAGTCTATCTGTCTGTCTGTCTAGATCGAAACGCCCGAGCAAAAGTGCAGGCACTTCTAACTGACAGATACGGTTCGTAGTTGGAATGTCGATCAAGACATGAAGACAATGCATCATCACATTAAATTTGACTTAATTGGATGCCTAATTAATTTTTTATGAATTAATAAAAATGTTGACCAAATAAGTAGGCAGTTCCATCCAACTACTCCACACGCGTCATCACGTTTAATAGCGCGTCATCACGTTCAATAGGCGCGCAATGGTTTTTAGTCATGAATTTCTATTGTAAATTAAACATGTAAAGTACTAAAAATTTTTCAAACAAACGTTTTAATAACAAGCTTTTATCTAATAATGCACTAAAAAGGAGCAAATATGTTGTAGACTACTATTTAAATAACTAGAAAGAAATCTTGGGTCTCTTCCTAAATATCAGTAAAGGCAGGTATCAAATAGATACGCTTTTCTTTAAAGCCCACGCTTTTCTTTAAAGTTATTTTAATAGTAGTCTATAACTCATTTTCTCCTTTTTAGTGCATTATAACATAAAAGATTTTTATTACAACTTTTTTTATAAAAATGTTTGTACACTCTATTCAATTTTAAAATCTCACCTAAACTTTATCGCTTATTCTTATATCAGTCGTCCCGGCCAGGCTCTGCGCTGACCGCTTTGAACAACCTATCTGTAAAGAACCGGACTTGTGCGTTTATTAATCAATGTATACCTTTATATATTAAATATGTGCAAGGCAGATGGCACTTCCATTGCAATCGGGATATAGACATATTATTTTTTAGTATTTAAGAAAGAAATTCACATCAGATACCAATTGAACGCTTTCAATATGTGTATAATATTAAGAAAAATTGCACTCAACTCAATTTCAATGTTATCTGCTGTCAATAATTCACTAATTTTTATAGGCTTATGTATAACAGCACTAAATCTTACCTTATACAACAGAAGTCTACAAAGACAGATATCTAACGAGACGCTTAATTTAATTGATTTTATTTTTTAAACACAATGTTTAAAAATATCTTGTTGAGAGCAGAGAGCTTAGCAAATATGAGAATAATTCATTCAGCTATATAACTGAAAGGTCCAATTAAATAATTTATGTTTTGTTGTGCAAATTATGTTTTGTTGAACTGTCGAAAATGTGATTACAGTATCACGTGATGAAGTCTGAGGCCTGGTTGATTACTGGTTAGCACGTTCTGATGGTAAATTTATTGTTACAGAATTACAGCATCTAACACACATTAGGCTAGCCTAAATCAGAAACCAAGCACGCTTAAAGCAGACATCAAACTAGCTTAAAGCAGACATTAGGCTAGCCTAAGTCAAACATCAAGCTAGCTTAAAGCAGACATCAATCTAACTTAAAGCAGACTGTGACTGAAAAACCGTTTACGTCTACTTCCATTTTGTGCTTCCACCACCCTCTACCTGCGCTATTACTCACCCCCCTCCCCCCTCACCAGCAACGTACATTCTTATCTTTCACCCGCCTCACAGGCTCTTCTCTCGTTGGCTAGTTTGTCCACGTGACACATCGTCAATTAAATGCAAACAAAGGGGATGTAATCCAGAAAACTCTCTCTCTCTCTTCCAGCTCTGAGCACACCTGGTTTGATAGTGTTTGATCGACTGGGTTTGTCGCACGCGGAGTTGTGGGTCGGCCCAACGCCCACGCGCTCTGTGTTTGGTTTTACTCAGTTATTTCCTTTTTTTACAGTATCAGTTATGTTATTCATAATATTTGATTAACATTGTTTAAAATAGCTTAACTAAATACCAAATATATTATCTTGCTGTTATGTATTATTACTTACATACTTTACACTGTCCATGTGACAGTAGATAAATTACCTGATTTACTTAACTAAACTTTACACTGCCCGTGCCTTAGTACACGGGCATTTGAAAAATTCGACTTGAACTATTCTTGCCCGTGACCTAGTTCCACGTTTTCAGTCAATTTTGCATACCAGTTACTTACTATAATACCTTCTCCTGCCTTGATTTAGCTCACTTCAGAGGCGTAGCGACCCTTCCCGGCGCCCGGGGATATACTTTCAATTTGGCGCCCCCTTGGGAGCAAATTTTCGATTTGCACCCCCCTCGAACTTTTCATTTGCACCCCCCCCCCCCCTCAAACTTTCGATTTGCACCCCCCCTCGAACTTTTCATTTGCACCCCCCCCCCCCTCAAACTTTCAATTTGGCGCCCCCCCCCTAAGGTCGGCGCCCGGGGACATATGTCCCCCCCCCCTCCGTCCCCCCCCCCCCTCGCTACGCTACTGGCTCACTTGGCGGTAGTCTTCATCTATTTGCTGTAAAATTTCATCCTGCATTAAACCCTTGCAAGAGTCAAGTGGTCATCGGACCTGGTAAAAAAAACATCATTCTAATAAGGCCGTAAAAGGGAGAATAAAGGAGGTATTTAAAAAAAAATTCATAAAAAACGTTTTAATAACAAGCTTTTATGTAATGATGCACTAAAAAGTAGAAAATAAATTATAGACTACTATTTAAATAACTATAAAGAAAAGCGTGGGTCACTTTAGTATCTATTGGATACCTTTACTAATGTTAAGGAAGACACCCACGCTTTTCTTTATACTTATTTAAATAGTAGTCTATAATTTATTTTCTACTTTTTAGTGCATCATTACATAAAAGCTTGTTATTAAAACGTTTTTTTATGAATTTTTTTTTCAGTACTTTACATGTTTTATTTACAATAGTTACATGAATAAAAACCATTGCGCGCCTACTGAACATCACGTTCAGTAGGCGCGCAATGGTTTTTGAACGCAGCCATTACGTGATGGCGCAGCTATTGAAGGTGATGAAGCGTGTGGTGTGGTTGGCTAGACATGCCTACTAATTCGGTCCAAATTTTAATTAATTCATAAAAAATTAATTAGGCATCCAATTAAGTCAAATTTAGTTTCAGATTGCATTGTCTTCATGTCTTGACCCACGTGCCAAGTGTGAATCGTATCGGTCAAGTAGAAGTTTCCGAATTTTCACTCCTGCGTTTCGGTCTAGACAGACTGACGACTGACGACTGACGACAGAGGAAGTGAGTTAAATAAAAGCTTGTAAAAACTTACCTTACGCGAATAAGCCCTATTCATTCAAATTTAAATTTTATAACTCATTAAGCCAATTGCATAGCTAAACAAACAAAGATTTAAAAAAAATAATTAGGGCCTGAAAATGTTTACTATAGAAATTTATTATTGGAATAGATTCAAGATCTAGGAAGGGTCTAGATCTAGATCTAACTCTAAGTCTAGTTTTTCCGTAGATCTAGAATATCTATCAAGATAAAAAATTCTAGATCTAGATCTAGATCTAGAATCCAAAAATCTAATAGCCTAATAGATAAAATAATTTAGGCCAGGAAAATCGCATTGTATAAATTTCATAGCGTACGTAGCTCTAAATCATATTTGAATGAAATAGTTCATTTCTTTATTTTATTCTATATTGTTCGGATGATGACGTCATTAGTTCCGTGCTCTTTCCTTAGTATAAACATTAAGTGACGTCATTGTTAAATGCGTTATTGTTCCAACTATAAACACTTTTCCGGTTGCATAATTAAAACGGTTTTTCTACATTCGAATACGCCTTTATTTTTTTTCTTCTTTAAATAAAATTATGGTTATACATTTAAAACATCTAACATATAATTTTCAACAAAAGTCCGTATCAAGTTCTCCATAAATCGCTGAAGATTCTGATGTGATACACTGCAAAATATTTTGCGGACACAGAGAGAGAGAGGGAGAGAGAGAGAGAGAGTGAGAGAGAGAAGTCCGCACATGGGCTTTTATATATTAGGATTCACCGAACATACTGTTTACTAATTATAATTTTTAATCAACTATTCGGCAACATTATACACGCGTCATCGCGTTCAGTAGGTGTACAATGGTTTTAGTCATGAAAATTTATTGTAATTTTTTTAAAATTTAAAGTACTGAAAAAAAATGCATGATATTTTAAATACTGCTTTTTATTTATTTATACACTGAACGTACTGTTTACTTATTATTATTATATCTTTCGGTTTATGGACAAGCTAGGGGCTTTATAGTCATTTGACGAATCAGGCGCTTCCTCCGGCGGTCGGACAGGGTGCAATTAGACACTACGGGTTAGACTGTGAGCATTATGTGTTAATGTTTGCATTTAAGTTGTATTTATGTTATGAGTGTTGTGTTTGTGTTTTCATTTGTGTTTTTATTTGCGTTTTTGTGTTTGTGCGTTGCGTTTGTGTTTGTGATTTCGTTTGTGTTTATGTTGTATTTGTGTTTTCTTTTGTGTTTGTGTTGCGTTAGCTTTTCTTTTATGTTAGGTTAGTGTGTTGCATTTTTGTTTTCGTTTGCATTTTCATTGTGTTTGCTAGCATTGTGTTAGTGGTTTCTTTTTGTTTGTGTTGTGTTTGTGTTTCTTTGTGTTTGTGTTTTCTTTTGTGTTTGTGTTTTCTTTTAGGTTTGTGTTGCGTTCGTATTGTGTTTGTGTTGTGCTTAGTTTTGTTCTGTTCCCAAGTTGGTACATTTTAAAAAGATTTACCATGGCGGAGCACGTGTATGCAGCTAGTATAAGTATATTCGAGAAAGTTTAGGGGAGATCAATCCCGCTTTGATTCACTTTTACAACAGATAAGCTGATTCTAAAATCCATTGTAACTATTTAAATGATCGTATTTCTTTGTTGGGGCTGTTATCGAATTTCTACTGCGGGGAAAACATTACGTAGGCGGTCTCAAACCAACGTCATTTTCTAACCACCACGTTTAGATAGTAAAGTGCTTTTTAATTTGTTGTTTTGCTAAGGATATACATATCTTTTATTGAAAATCGAAACCTTACGAATAACTGACAGGAGAGAAGTTGCGACGTTGAGAAGAGTCAGTTGCTGTATATCAGGGGTCTCCAAACTACGGCCCGCGGGCCGAATGCGCCCCGCGAAGTCCTCTCATCCGGCCCGCGGAGATCTTTTTGTCCAAGTAAAAATCGTTTGTTGATGATGATGAGGAACTTTGCGCAGAAAAATCAAAGACATTCCTGGAAGAAACTGGCCCCCGAACTGAAATTTGATAGTTAATGCGGCCCACAGACTGAAAAGTTTGGAGACCCCTGCTGTACATGATTGTGTGAGTCTTCCAATCTCTCTACACAGCGGGTGCACCCAAGTGAAAGCTATGGCATATACAACTTGGCATCAGCTGAGTCCAAGAGATGCCAAAAGAAAAATCAGAGTTAGTAATCCGATTGTCTAATAGGTCTCTACGCTACTAGATGTTTTGTTGTCCCCAGCTAGCGAACCTCATCTGATACTTGGGGTTTTCACTTTTCCTACCAACGAAAATTAAACACACATTACTCGTTCACACTATTTTTACGCACCGTACTCCTACACATAGTACTCATACAAACACTACTTTTACACACATTGTCCTTACCCACACTACTTCTGCACAGACTTCTTACACACGTAATACCACAACACATACTACTACAACATCGTAGGTGGAGCGGGCAACATACCAGACACTGTATGAATTCAACACCCGCATATCACAAGTGACCCTTAGATTCATATAGCAAATGCACTGAAACTACATTTTAAATAAATAAATAAAAATTACATTACAGAGAGCTGGTATGCTAAATTTGTTATCTTCGAATGGTCTTAATTGTTACTGACAAGAAGGATAGATTTAAAGTGATTGTGATGGCGCCAGTTCAGGGTAGATGGTAGAAACAGGCTATAGCTTAGTTGGCTGAACAGACCAATGGAAATCCAGGAGCTGACCGGTCATGTGGGACGGTCAGCTGACCACTGAAGCGTGGGTCAGTAGTTAGATCAGCGGCAGACATAGATATGTAGCGCAAGAGAGCGGTCAGCGTTAAATAGAGAATTAGATGTAGATAGTGTGGTAAAGACGGTCGGAGATATGTAGAGCTGAGGATAAATTCGATAGGAGTTGTAGTTAGATAGAGTTAGCAGATAGTATAATTATAGTTTAGACTAAATAGGTAGAAGTAGGAGGTTGATTTGTGTAAAGAAAGAATTATAGAACATCTTGAATAGGACTGTGTGTTGGATCTTCTCTTCACCCCATCACCCCTACCCTCACACTGATGTTGCAGGGAAAAGCCCCATGGTGGTTACGGTTGAGTTTTCAACGTCAACCAGAATCCTCTAACAAACCACACGATCGATAGGAGAACTAAACACAGGCTGTGTATGGCGGGCCACCCACACAGCCCACAATGCTACTGTTGTGACAAAGAAAAACATTTTCTACTTGCTTAATAAATAAATAAAAAAGATGTAAAACTTACCACGCTCTCTGATTCAATTTTTAATTGCAGCGATTTTCACGATCATACGTCCTTTGAAGAATGAATTATATTGTTGTATTATATCGATGTGTTTGTTGTCCTGAATGACGTAGCGTGTGACAGCTGTTTGCGTGGGTTTTGCGTGGGATACTAATCATAAATGATAAAAGTAAGATCTTACTTGAGACGTGTAAACAGGAGATGCGGGGGCCTGTTATGAATTTAACACCCCCACCCAACCATTCTAACCCCAATCCCTTACATTTCGTTGTTATGAGTGAAGTCTACCCACGTAATCTTAAGGTTAGTTATAATATAATCGATTTAGAAAGGAACGGAGCGAATAATAAATGTAGTGAAACAGGTGTTTTATGTAACAGAAAAACAAAGAAATAAACAAACAAATAAAGAAAAGAAAAAGTAAAAAAAAAATAATGTAAAGAAAAATGGATATTACCACACGAGAAAGTAACACAATTAAAACGTAAAGACAAAAGATAGAAAATAAATAAACAAGTAAATAGACGAGAGATTAAAGAAATTAAAAAGAAAAGAAAGTAGAGACAAAATAACGAAACAAAATAAAAAGAATGAAACGAGAAAGTAAAGAAAGTAGAAAGAAAAGAAACGAGAGTAAGCCTGTAGAAATAAAAAATGTATAAAATGAGAAAGCTAAGAAATAGTAACATTTAGAAAGAACAAGGTGTGGAATTAAGAAAGTTATGAAACAAGAGAGCAAAGACACATGAATATTGATAAGAAGAATTGGACAAAGGCTACGGAAGCAAATCTAAAAAGAAATTGGAGTCAATTGCCTCAATGGCGCTTAACCAGTTGACACGTATACTTAATTATGTTGGAGGCGTGATCGTGTCGACAAAGCTTATGGTTGTTAATTTCGAAAAAAAGTCTCGAGTTCGAACCTCTTGCAGAATAGGCTCGATCCCTTCCAGCACTAAAACTTAAGAACGAATAAGAAGAAAAAAAAGATAAGATGAAAAATTCTCATGTGAGTACATTTGTGGGGGTTGAAAAATCATTAGCCTGACAGTGACTCACTTTTTACAAATGCTTTGGAGTTAGTGCGCTCGTGGGATTAATCCATCAGGACATTTATGGATTTAGAAAATTGCGTATAAAGCTAACTGCACGCACCACTCAAGAACGTGTACCGTTGTTTGAAACAAGCGAATCTACTAACTTAGGTAAGTCATCTGTTTTGTTCATTTTGTATGTGGTTTATACTTCAATGTTTTGTACCAGCGAATCGTTTTACTTAAATACGTCTTCTATTTTTTTTTATTTTGTATGTGATTTATATTTCATTGTTTTAAACAAGCGAATGGTTTTATTTAGGAAAATAACAGCTGTTTTGTTCATTTTGTTTTGTTATTATTTAATTTTTCTACACAAGCGAATCATGTTACTTAGGTAATTACAGCTGTTTTGTTCATTTGGTGTTTGTTTTTATTTCAATGAATTCATTGTTTTATACGACATATTTCCGAATGACACCAGGCCGAATGCAATTTTCCCGAATGCCGATTTTTTCGAATGGGCAATCGCCCTAATGCGACAACTGCCCAAATAATTGACATTTCCCACGAAAAAAAGTCATTCTTCTAAACAATTTAATCGTTTTACCTAGGTATTAAATTACAGTTGGTAGAAAATTTTGTATGTTGCTATTTTAGAGAAATCAGAGAGCTATATTTTATCCTGCGAGAAGGTTGTACTTGTGTTTTGTACTCACCAAACGAAACATGTTTATATACCTGATTCGCGTACAAATGAACAGTTAGTTGATATGAAATAAGACCAATATTCCATATCTATTTTAAACTTTCTTTGTACTACATGGTCCCAGCAAAGCAGCCACTAGATTTTTTAAAAATGTTTAATTGTATTTGATTATCTAAATAAACGATGAGCACCAGTAAGATACTTAAGTTCTTAAATTAAAGGGTGGTGTAATATGTTTTGTCGTGTTTTTTTAAAAGTTATTATTTCATTATGATAAAAGTACAGATGTGTTAATGACTAGCGACCAGTCATCAAGCTATATACCTCTTTGAGTCGAAGTTCAATAATAAAATACAAACAAAAAGATAAAAAAAAAATGCTGTAACATTTTATAACTGTTCCTATTTAAATACGGTTTGTCAAAAGTTGGTGTTTACCTATGTAAGTCAGACATTTTCTACTTCATAGTTAAACACAGTTTAAATCAAGTTTATTTCTGAAGGTACATAACGATGAAAGAAAAAACATTTCTTTTCAAGTTTCAGTATCACAATGTTACTTTATTTGCCATCACATGATGATGAAAGAAAACGTAAATAAACAGTATCTCTTTTACAATCACAGCTTTACAATAGCAATTACTCTTTGTTGCTACTGTCTTAGAAAAAATGCATTAGTTGATTATAAACATAATATGAAATATGACCGAAGAATAAAGTGTATTAAATATTTTAATTGAAATCATAAGACTGGGCTTTAATAAACATACACATTGTAAAGGATAGCGTAGATATTATTTCCTGTATCTGCATAGGTGAAAGATTCAACAACATAGAGTTGCTTACGGCTTCACTTTTTCCTCTTTTCTTATTGAATTTTTTTTACATAATCTCCCCACCACCAGGCATACCCCCCCCCTCTGCCATTTGGTATAATTAAAATGCATTTTTCGTAGACACGCACACTTTGACACACACAGATACACACCGACACAAAATGCGCTTCGTTTTAAACACGAAATAAATAATAAATAAACTTTTGTATAGAAGGATTATATTAATTTTGTGAAACAATAGTGATAAAGATAATCTTTCTAGTTCATATTAAAAAAGAGTCTATCTACGTTTCTACAAAAAAAACATGAATAAAATCTGTAAAAATACATTTATTTATTCATTAATCTATTTATTAGTAATTTAGTGAACTATTTAGTAGTGACCGTTGAATGCTATTTCACAGTATTATAAGCAATTCCGTTTCGCAATTCCTTTAAATAATACTATGCAATATATATATATATATATATATATATATATATATATATATATATATATATATATATATATATATATATAATCTTTTATTCCGCAAAAAAGACATTAAAAAATAATCTTTTACAGAAGTATAGCACTGCAAACATAGTCTCTAGAAAGCATGAAGATCATAGCAGCCGCAGTGTTACTTTTCAACATAGCTTATGCTCGGGCGGGTAAGATCATAATCTGTATCGAATATGTTAATAAAACAAGGATACGTTTTTGCTTTAGTAAATTGTATTAATTTTATTACAGAGTTGTGATGATCGATTTTTAAAATGTATTCTATAATATTTAATAAGACGGATTATATTTATTTCAATTAAAACTTATATTGTTTTGCCACTTCCTTCCTTCCTTATACGGAAACCGGCTCAGAAGGTTGACTTCCATCAGCCAGGCAGGCCTCAGTGTAGCAAACTCCGACCACAAGAGTTCCCCACACATCGGTCGCTACTTCCGTGGGCTCTCACCGGGCTTTCCTTCCCCACCCACCAGACACGGGACGTCGTCCCACCGCCTGGTACCCAGCTTGATCGTGGGGGGCATTCCGCCAGATCAAAACCCTCTAGCTGCTGTTATCTGCCACTGGCCATTCCGCACCCACTAGGGGGACATGAGTTTGGTCGGACCAGTGGCATTATTCCGAAGCCCCGTTAAGGCCGCCGCTTAAAGTCAAAAGATCTGGTTGCGGACTTTTGGTTCCCGGCAGTCTTGCACCTCTCCTCCCCCACGCTATTATGTGGGGGACTTGGGAGTCCGACGTACCAGGCTCTTCGGAAGAGCCGAACGCATACAGCAGCTCCACTCGGCCAGATCAAAAACCTCTAGCTGCTGTTGGCTACCACTAGCCATCCCGCACCCACTAGGGGGGTCATGAGCTTGGTCCGACTAGTGGCATACATCCGAAACCACGTAAAGGCCGCAACTTAAAGTCAAGACATCTGGTTAGGGTCGAGAACAAAACCCTTCTTGGTTCCCGGCAGTCTTGCACCTCTCCTCCCCCACGCTATTTAGAGCAAGCAACGGAGATTCGCCCGTCTAATGCGGACAAATCTCCTGGCTCGCTCATGTAGGGGACTTGGGAGTCCGACGTACCAGGCTCTTCGGAGCCCGTCCTACGAAAGTCCTACAGCGGCTCTTTCCGTAGGTCTCGGGCGTACAGATTAAAGACCCCTAGCTACCGCTAGCTCCCCGGGTAAAAACCCGGGTTCCCTTCCGCGACCACGAGGAGGTCGTAGCTTCAGGTCGAAACATCTGCCGTAGGGCCATAAAAACCCCTTTCGTTCCCAGTCCCTGTTCATCCACTCCAGCCCACATGGCTGCGGGAGTCCGAGGGCACCAGGCTGCGCGGAATGTTTTGCCACTAACATCCTAAATAAATTGCATTGTGTTTTAATAATGTATTAATTAATTTACATAAAAAGTTCATAAGCAAATAAAAAATTGATTTAATATTTTGTCTTTTATGTCCAATCTCATGCTTTCGTTCATTCAATTTAAAGATAATAAATGACCGATATTTATGAAATTTATAAATTAATGTCTTTAGAAAACACATGATCTTGGGACAAATTATCTTAGACAAAATATCCAAGACAAAATAAGGATAAATTTTATCTGGACAAAATATATCAGGACAAATGAACTCTGACAAAATATAGCAGTTAGCAAACTAAATTAGACAAAATATCACACATATAATTTGTCGTTAGATCGTATGTGCTGTCACTATATATATCCAGTCCTATATGTATACATATATATATATATATATATATATATATATATATATATATATATATATATATATATATATATATAAAGCAATGTATGTGTGTGTATGTCTGTTTGTCTTTTATGCATTACTACACCTCTCATCACATCGCCGTTAAATTTTAAGAAGTTGTTGTGAATATTCCTGGGGAGGTTTCTGCGGAAATTGTTTTTTTCAAATGCGTAGGGGTAGCCCCTCAGCAGGGCGCGATTTTTTTCTCAATGTACGGTATATAAAAAATAAAAGTCGATTGAAGTTTGACACAGTTCATCCCATCGCCATGAAACTTTGAGGTGTTGATTACAACACTCCAGGGGAGGTTTAGGAAGATTTCGCAAGGGCGGCGCCCCGGGAGGGTTCGATTTTTCTCTATATACGGTATATAATAAGTATAGTCAGATGCGGTTCGACACTTTTTATCCGCATGGCATGAAACATTCGGGAATTGATAATACTCCCGAGAAGGTTTCTGTGAACAAAATAATGAAAATATGATATGGGTGGCGCCTGCGAGGTTGCGATTTTCGTCAAACGCAATTTGACGCCCAGATTTCCAGAGCGGCTATATTAGCTCGTGGCATACGCTAATCGTGCGCCCTGCATAGCGGGTAAGGAGTAATACTATACTCCGTGTTAAAACTTCAAGAGTCGAACCGTCGACGCCCCGTAGATTGCACGGCCCGAAGCGCCCCGGGCTCCCCTGCGAACACTATGGCGCCTACGTTCATTTAAAAAAGTCTATACACTAAAGACTTGACGGGCAACAACAATCATTGACTATATCGAACCAGGTCCGTCCCCCGGCGCCCCTGCAGGTATCAATTTGGCGCCCTGGGCTTTCCCATGAGCGCAATGGCACCTACGTTCATCCTAAACAGTGCATTAGACAATGGATAAGATGGGCTGTTACAGTCGCTCACTAAATTAAATCAGGCGTGTCACCCGGCGTCCTGGTAGGGTGCGATCTGGCTGCAAACATAAAATTCAGTTTCGGACCTCACAGGCTCACGCGGGCTGCTGAGGGCCCTGTAATACTTTTTTTTTAATAATCAGGAAAATTAACCAAGGTTAGATTATTAACACTGGGTTGTTTCCTTTTGTCCGTAAAAAATCCAAACAATTCCAAAGCCTACAGTTCTCAAAATAATGAAAATATGTCCGTAAAAAATTTAAGTTTAGAAGGGCAACTCAAATCAAAATTAAAAGTCACACTTCTAAAAAAACTTTGTAACACGAGGAAATCATTCTGTACAGTTTCGTCACTTTGCGAATGATGCAATTAGCATCTATTTTAAACAAATTGCATCAGCCACACTGATGATTATAATGCGTCAAATATTCATTTTTCTACGTGTTAAAGAAAACATCCTGTTGATATGTGCCACTTAAGCGATCGACACAATCTGCATCATTGTTTCCGGATGCTATACGGCGCTCTGTGTTATTCTGTGAGCACTTTGGCGCCTATGTTAGTTGTAGCCAAGGCTATACGCGGCGCCTCTGCTTTAGTGTAATCAGGGGCTCCAGAGAGCGCCCCTCTACATCTCTGACACATGGGCGGTCATCGAAGTGTGTTCTACCTCATTATTTTGGTGAGTGATTAACGTAAGATTTTCATTCGGTAGTATTGGTATTGTATGTAAACCCGTGTCCCTATATTTATGATCCAAGCGTAGGCATTGTTTACATTTAAATAACTTATTATTACAAAACAAGGTCACGCGTTTTAGGACATAGGATTGGTAACGCATTGATGAAAACCTTCTTATATATTTCATCAGACTTTCTTATATCCCCGCGGCAACGCGCGAGGACGGGTACGCTAGTATACATATATAAATACACATGCATATATATATATATATATATATATATATATATATATATATATATATATATATATATATATATATATATATATATATATATACTTTCATGCATACATATATATATATAAATACATACATATACAATTATATATGCAGACATATATGTATATATGTATACATGTATATATGTATATTATATATATATATATATATATATTTATATATATATATATATATATATATATATATATATATATATATATATATATATATATATATACATATACATATACATATACATATACATATACATATACATATACATATACATATATATATATATATATATATATATATATATATATATATATATATATATATATATATATATATATATATATATATATATATATATGTATATACACGACTCTCCTTTCACAGACTGCGGACCTGGATGGCAACTCCGAAGCGGGACTAATTTTTGCTATCGATTTGAACAAACAGTGGCGAACTGGACAGATGCAAGTAGCGCGTGTGTGTCTTTTGGAGGAAATTTGGTAACTATTTCCGACAGCGCTGAAAAGAACTATGTCAGTGGTAAGTTTTAACAAGAACTTTAATCAGTTGTATTTAATACCTTATTGTTTATTTAAGGATAGACCTCACGGATTGAATTTTTTTTTTTGTAAGTAACATGTTTCTGTGTGTTTAATAGATTATATGTTAATAGTTGTTAACCTATAGACAAAAATAATATATTGCCGCGAATAGCAGAACTGATTACCATGGAAACCACAAAAAGCTATAAAAACGAGCACCTTTTCAAACCTCTATAGCTTTGTTCCCAGAAACAATTTAAAAAATCTGATGACACATTTAAATTTCTCAAACCAAACTATATATTTCTACTTTTATTCATTGCGATAGCTCATATTCAATTTTTTATACAAATTTTTACGTAATACTATGAACAAAAATTAAGGGGTGGTGCTACATAAATATCAAAATTTCATAAAGTATTGCAGTAAACTCAATGTACATACGTAATGTTGCAAAAAGTATAATGCTAAATGTATGTGGGAAGTTTCTGCCTTCTATAACAAAGGGTTCTAAAGCCTTAGCGATTTGAATGTTGAATTTTGAGTAAAAATGCAAAGTTGAAAAAAAAATGTGAAAAGAAGGATGGAAAAAGGCCCTGTGCATTTCCACTTATAGAAAACAGGAAAAAAAAGACGTATTGTTAGCCGTTTGACTAATAAAATACGTGTTGACTTATGTTATAAGTTTTAGACAAATTTTTCCATGTTGGCAGAAAATATGTATACAACAGGTAATGAATTAATGACTATTAAGTATTACAGATCTTAGATATCGAGTGTTATTCTCAGGAAAACCATCAATAAACCAGAATAAGTTATGTTTGTTAGCTGGTATTCTCACTACAATACAATGTCCATCCCGACTTAAATTGTAGCTGATACACGTTCAATGCCTTTTGATAATAGCCTGCTACACAACACTGGGTACAACGCTTGAGGTTAGACACGCCCCCCCCCCCTTTCACCCAACCCCACCCCTGCACTCTACACCCAAACCCACCCCTCCCCACCGCTGGATAGTGCTTGAAGTTCCGATGAGCCATAGATTACCAATGTTCATTCAACCGTGAATAATACGTCAGTGTAGATAGGGTCAAGCACTGTTTCCGTAAAGGGCCTAAGTGAAAGCTTATCAGCAATGGGCATGCACATTTACACTTATGTAGTCTATAGCCCGATGTAAAGTCTGATGAACGCGTACAAGCCTATCACAACATGATGTAACAAAATAAAACCGGCCGTTGGTTGGATGGCGATAACGGGAAAATGAGGATGGACTCGGTACATTCTTAAAACTGACAGACATGTCCATGACGCGCTGTTTCAGCTTAGTATAAAACGTACTAAACAGTGTTTAGTAGTGTTCAAATGACAATCAACAGTACATTGATTGGAAAAATTTCAAGCTTTACCCTAAATGTTGTTTTATAATTGTAAAACAAAAATTAGAAGAGTATATTATTATGTATGCAAATAAAGTAAACAAACGTGAATTATTTTGATTTACTGTACTCTAATATGATTGATCAAGCGTATCAATGAATCATTTCGCATTCATTATTTTTACTTGTATGTCTTTTTATTGAATTGGATATCAAATTTTATTTTGTAGAAAACAACATTTATCCAACTTATTTGTAGAACAAAGAAAAAAGTCACTACACCAGCAGGTATACGAGAGCTTGGCCGATAGATTAATGTATATTTTAATGGTGCCTCGCGGGCAATAACAGTTGTAATACGCGCTCGAAGTTAGGTGCTGTCCGCTTAGTATGGTGAAAATTTGCCACGTGTACCATGTTTTACATCGCAATTAAAGGATAACCTTAGGCCGTAGATGTCCGAAATATTCGGGATAGATAGCTAAAAATTGTTAGTACCGAATTAAGAAATACAAATTTTGATGACCAAATTTCACTGTTATCGAAAACATGTGTATCTTGTACCAGTATCATTGGCATGGGGTTGCCCAGACATGTCACTAAGCGTTTTCTACAATTTTCTTACCGCCTAACACCGTACGACAAAATAAAAGACAACAAATTATACCCCCTCACTCATTAATGACACCTAATATAAAATTAATTAATTAATTGTTTTTCATTACTTTGATTTTTATCGTCGATCAGCTTTTGCAAGTGATAATCTATTTTAGTGGTTGTGCACATGTGTTTTATTTGTCTATGTGTCAGCACGTTTAATAAACGTATTCAATAACATTATATTGTCTTTTTAATAGTATTAACATATTTATAAGCTTTTCTTTAGATCGTAGAGCATCATGACACGGAGATTTTGTAAAGCAAATGATTAATTGTTCTTGTTATAGCACTAATTCAGTCAGAAACGAGGCCTGTGTGGACCGGCCTAACGGATGAATTGGGCGAGGGGGTCTGGAGATGGGCAGACGATTCTTGTATAACTTTCACGTCTTGGAATCCCATAGATTGGATGACTTGTAAGTTGCCGTTTTATTTTTTGTTTTTTGTTGAAGAGCTTTACAATCGTTTTCATCGCTATAATGGACGTTATATTTTATATGTGATTGTTGTATGATGTTCCCTACACGCACTGGCGTGGGGGAGATCGGTTGTCACCCCCCACAAAAGGAAAAAAAAGTATAGACTACAAACACACACACACACACATATTATATATATATATATATATATATATATATATATATATATATATTTATATATATATATATATATATATATATATATATATATATATATATATATATATATATATATATATATATATATATATATATATATATAATATATATATATATATATATAATATATATATATATATATATATATATATATATATATATATATATATATATATATATATATATATATATATATATATATATATATATAAGCTGCATACCCGTGCTTCGCCACGGTGAATCGTTTTAAATGTACTAACCTGGGATTAGAACAAAATCAAAGAAAAACACAACGCAAACGCAACACGCAAACACAAACGCAAACACAAATACAAAAAGAAAACATATTTATAGTGCGTTGCATTTCTATAATATAAAACAAACTCAAAAATAATCATTTTTATTGTTGATTATGATTCATTTATCAGTTATTTAAACATAAAATACTATGGTATGAAAAACAAATAATTTATAATATATTTTTTATGACGTCAAAATCATGAATCAATAATGGGACATAATCCAATAAATCGTTTGTTAAGCGTTAAAGTAACTCCCCTAGCATAATTATTAAATTTTTTTCAATGATTGGTTTTATTATACACTACTGTTATTAAAATGAATCTAATTTTTTAGGCATAAAAGCAAAAATATAATTTGATTTATTTAATATGTTTTAGCAATATGCGTGTATTTAATACTTTCTTTGCGTACTTTTGTTGACGTATGCAAAAGATTAAAACTTTGCCTAGTCGTTGTATAAATAAAACCTACTTCCATACTTGTAATATGAGTAAACAAGGGGTCGGCAACCTACGGCAAGCTCTTTTGATGTCGAGATGCGGCTCTTCAGTTCCATGCGCACATAATGATAATTGCATTATTTTATTTTCAAAACTCATAAAAATATTGTTCTGCAACACTCGGTATCTGGATAGCTCTAAAAGAAATGTTGCGAGTTGAGGCCCTTCTATGTGACGCATGGAATAGTCCTCCAGGGTGCCACAGTGAGATGAAGAAGTTGGTATTTGGAGTGCTTACAATCTTCGGGTCAACGTATTAATGCGAGCAGTCGTTTTCTTGCATAATTATAATACAAAGTGTAGAAGCCAAAAGAATTAAAATCGTGAAGCTTGAAACTGAATACAATTTATGAGCCAGGTTTAAACAAACTTTCAAAAGGCATGCAAGGCGAAACTGTTGTAAATAGTATTCAATAATTAAAGTTATATACTTTGATTACGGATTTTATTATTTAAGCAGAGCTAGATAAAATACTTTAATACTTTTTTTCTACGAAAATTGTGTATGTTTTTATTTGAATAAATATTATTTCATATTTAAAGTTATATATATATATATATATATATATATATATATATATATATATATATATATATATATATATATATATATATTAATCATTTATTAAACTGGCAAAAAGCATATGTGTCATCTCCCAAAAAAGGTGTCCCCCGGGTGCGGTCCGCATCCCCGCTTCCATCTCCGCCTCGCGACTCGTCTGTCTAGAAGTTGATATAGACGTGGATGGGACGCATATTATTGAATGTACAATTATTTTTGTGTTCTTGTAAACAGCTGAGCCGAGCTATAATGAAGGAGGGAAAGAGTGTGTTACAATTTTGCCTGATAGTAAAAATTGGAATGATGATGGATGCGCCTACACATATCCATTTGTTTGCCGAAAAAAGCTAGGTACGTATATATTTTTCAAAAGACAGTTTAATTCTGCATTATTTTTCGACAATATGTGGACGCTATAGTATTTTAACACTAGGAAAGGATTTTAAAAGCAACGAAATATTTCCTCTAATAAAAGATGTTTTATGAAATGTGTAACGACCAATACGTGTTTTATAAAATCTTGTCAGTTTAAAAAAAAAAAAAAGAAAATTGGAAAAATTTCATCTGCAGATAATTATTATATTTGAGAAATAGATATTATATTGTTAATAAATTGCTTCTAAATTGCGTACAATTATTCAAATATCATATTAATGTAATTAATCGCCAAATATATAGCTGTTACAATTATCTGTTTTCATTATAACAAAACTCATCAAAAATATCTCACTTAATTTATATCAATCCATGTTTAAAGATGCATTTATCGGGTTCGTTTATAAATACAAACAATTACTTTACATCAATTGAATGGTTACTCCTTGCGTAGCCAGGATCGTCTTGAGGGGGGGGGGGGGTTCCAAACTTTCGTTTTGCACCCCCCTCAAACTTTTGATTTGCACACCCTACCTCCAACTTTTGATTTGCATCCCCCCTCATACTTTATATATAAATACCGAGGGGTGTATGGGGGGGGGGTTATGACCCCCCTGCCTACGCCACTGACTCCTAGCAAGTTTGAACCAGTGTTTTTATAGAATTTTTTTTTTTCGGGGGGGGGGGGGGGGGGAGGACTAAAATTTTCTATATAAATTACAATTCGTTCGGGAAAGGGCGGTAGACTTTCTTTGTGGAGATGCCTGGAAGAAACTCTGGTTTGACCAATCGATTGAACGTATTTTGTATTCCGTTCTTTGTTAGCATCTACAATTATGATAGAACCAATCAATCATATTGATATACATAACAATTTTTTATGTTTTTTTTTTTCCAAATAGTTGGCCAAGGTCAAGTAACTCTAAACACGGTAAATTAAATACACTTATATTTTCATCCGATATTGTTTAACATCAATAATGTTATTCAGTAACTTCCGACAGTTTTGTTGTTGTTGTTGATGAAGGTTAGTAGCTACGTTGTGGCGAGTGGTCGGATTAAACAGTTGTGTCGTTTTTGTATACACTTTGTTATTTTAAAAAGACTTGTTTATTTCATATGTTTATTAGTGCACCGTTTTTTTCACTGGAGTGTGTACCGAAGCTTATGCTACATTCCTGCTCATTGTTTTTTATACAATACAAAATTAAAGGAAATGTAAAAAGAGATCGGATTGCCATGAAATGAAGTCTTCATCCACAGATTTTATATAGCCTAAATGTTAATTAACAGCAAATATTAATAGTTTTTTTGGAAAATTAAAGTGATCAAATGGATGTGTGTGGTCTAATTGTGGTCAATGAAAATATTATTAGACTTCAAAGTTGATTGCGATTGGTAGAAAGTGTCACTTATGTGTGTTCAGAATATGTGCACGTTTTAATGAGTCGTTTAAATTGATTTTTTTATTGTGTTTAGCTGTTACAATCGCTACACCCTGAAAAAAAAAAACGGACACATTTACAAAACTTCGAATAAATAGATACAATTGTGACCCCCCCCCCCCCAATAAATGTTTAAATTCGTTCCCCCCTCACACTCATTTCGTAGTTGGAATTACGAAAAATATTAAATAAACTTATACATTTGCGCTGATTAGATGTATAGCGAAATTTACACAAAACTAGATTTTAGCCGAAATTTTAATAAACAAATATGTTTAGATAATTTTAAAAAAATGCTGCTCAACGCGATTCAAAGAAGCACCTGTTCACTATGCTTTTGTATATTTCACGTATATGTTTTTTTTCTCTAAAGGTGTGCGAAACAGCCTGTAAAGCTGATTGGTCAGATAATTATGTGGGATACATCTACGAGAACGGCGTATGCACATGTCAATATCGTTGGTTTCAATTTTCGGGCAATGCTGATACTTATTACGTTGTATGCGCTGTCCGTAAGTTATCGAAGATAATACCCTAACTTAATTCTATTTTCCTTAATCGCCTCACAATTTATATATAATATAGCATGAGCCTTCTTTCCTAAACTCCATACGATCAATTCAACGAGAACAACAAACGCATATCAAATTTTAAACAGAGTATTGGAGTCTCAGCTCACTTTATTTTCATTATGAACATAGCTCCAGCAGTGCCCCTCCAGATGGGTATAGCTTCCGGTTACAATGACTCCCCCCCACCTTGCATCCACACCCCGGATAAGTATACAATAAATATATTCCTTATCCATTCTACGCCCCTTTTAAGGCTCAAGTTCCCCCCTCTGTCATGTTTGGTGCAACTTTTTGATTCCGAGCGAATTATTGTTATAATTATTCAACTATCAAACATTTGATTCGGAGAGAAATAAATAACAACAAAGCAAAAACATTATTGTATAATAATTTCCATACACTACTTAAAGACAGTTTGCATTTCTGAATAGCATTTATATGGCAACCCATATTTAAACACGTTTCATATAATGGCAAGCCTGAAGAAACTTGTTCGTCGAAAAATATTTAATATAGTTGATGTATCTAAGAAAGGTATTTTAAACTGAGAATAATACGGCCTTCCACCTTATACTAAATTTGTTGCAATTCCTATACCTGCAACTGGTAATGCGAATTTAACAGCATCACACACGTAACTAAATCGATTGTTTAGACATACATCATTTTTCGCAACCACCTAAGCCTTCAAGAAATCTAATTACACCTTTAAGATATACAAAAGTAGTCTAAAACTACTGTGAAGCAATAACAATTGAAAGAAAATCAATTTAGAATCCAAACAAAAACTACAGAACAATTGATTTTTTAGCTCCCATTTTAAATGCATAATATTCAGAAATGCCTGAGAACAAAATCATTCTTGCACATTCATCCTACTTGAAAAGTGCTGTTGAATTTGAATCTTTTACTCTATACATTATAGTATGTTAGGTTTATTAAAATATACTTCCGGTTCATCAGGAAGACGAACATAGTCTTACGATTGTATAAGACTGTTCAAACATGCTGACTCCTGATAATAGGGCTGGTAAGTAGGTCACCAACCAGTTCTATGGCTCATGTAGTGTTTATTGAGCCGTAGAACTGGTTGGTGACCTACTTACCAGCCCTATTGCCGAGCCCTATCTGGAGTATATACACATCGCGAATCCATAAGCGTTTTAAATTTCTTCATGATACAGAACATTGTCATGTCTCACAATATTTGCACAGCTCTTATCACCTTAAAATTTGGTTATCAATTATTGTAAAAAAAAAGTATAAACTCATCAGTAACAGTTAAAAAGTATATGTTTAAAATAATCTCAATGTGATTATATACTTCTCCTCTTTTAAAAACGTTCTTATCATTAAGACCAACTTGTTTTGCTTCGTTTCTAAATGTTTTACATTAATCTTGTAATCTTACTTTCTTCAATGTAGATTAAAATATCACAATTATTATTTTTGCATTGTTTTTTTTTTCTAGACGAATTTCCACCAACTACAACTGAATCACAAACTGAGGCTCCAACTACGACTACGACACCAGACGCCCCAACTACCACAGCGACACCAGACGCCCCAACTACCACAGCGGCACCAGACGCCCCATCTACCACAGCGGCACCCGACGCTACAACTGCACAAACTACTCAGGACTTGCCTGAGACAACCAGACGTCACCGTAAAAAAAATCTTCTTTTTGATATCGTAGAGTATTTCACATATCAAAGCTGTTTTTATTTTCCCAACTACCGCTCTCCAATTTTCAATTATGTAATAGTTAGAGTGGCTACTGCAGGTCGGTATTTTGAACGCCCCCCCCCCCCTTCCACTCCCTCATCTTAAATCACGATTCTCTGAAGATACGCGGCATCAACTTTTCACAACGAGCTCTAGTCCATAAAAATATGAGTCAGGGCATATATATATATATATATATATATATATATATATATATATATATATATATATATATATATATATATATATATATATATGTATATATATATATATATATGTGTGTGCGTGTGTGTGTGTTTGAGTGTATATGTGTGTTTGTGTAACTCAGTGCGTATGTTTGTGAGTGTGTGCTTGTAGATCTATAGATGAAATTTATTTTAAAAAACTCAAGCTAATATTCTGCCTTCGACACTGGTCTTGTACACTTATATTTAACCCCGCAATGGATGTTTGGTATTTTGTGTGTTCTGGGCATTAGGACTAAAATAGTTGGGACAACACAACTCAATAATTAGCTAAAATTTGTTTAAGCGAGCTGACCCGCGCCGTAAGCATACGTCGCTATTTAATGAAAACGGCATATGAAGGGATAATGTGGTCAGCACTATGTCCAGCCGCTTTTACTTTCAATAACACGAATTAGGTACCAATTGCAGCTGGGTGGAATAAGGGCCATTCTACTGACTTGGACCCAGATTCGAATTCGAAACTTACAGTTAGCAGTCTAGCTCCCCACCGCTAGGCCACTCCGTCCATTAAGAATATTACAAGGTGTATATTAATGTAATGCTTGAAACAATGGAGAAACGTTTTAGTAGTTATCGCTTTGTCTTGCTAGTGAGATACATGTCTATTTACTAACAGAGCTGTTACAGATAAATGTTTATTATATTTGTACTTTTTTTTTTATAAATTGCGTTCTCGAGGCGTTTACTGTCTTAATTCTAACGGACTCCAATCAGTTTGCACTTCTCATGCTAGAAGGAGTGGCAGTCTATTTTTATCTAAAGAAAGATAGGCCTACATTTTAATTTCGTTTACAACGGTTTATACAATGTATTAATCTGTTATTTTTTTTATTTAAATGTAGATAAATGCAAGAAACACGGATAAAAGAGGTGTTCTGATAGGTAAGATAATCAATTCCAAGAATAATTAAATTATATAGTGTTAAATTAATGAACATACAAACCATATTTGATCTAATTGTTTTATAATTATTATTAGCGAGTTAGTGTTTCGACAGACAGTCGACAGACAGACTACGACACACAGACTACGGACACAGGAAACAAGTTAAATAAAAGCTTGTAAAAAAATTCTGTATATACATACGCATATTAAATGCAATAGTGTACAGTTAATCACTATGTTTAAGTAACCTATATAACAAATAATGACTTTATTTAAACTCTTTCATGATGCTTTTTGTTTTGTTTTGTTTTCTTGCTAGAGCCAAGTTGGGTGACTCGAAGACCTCAACGGCAGACGTGTAGTGTAGACGTTGTCTTACTTTTAAAATAATTATCAATTTTTAAAATCAATTTTCTCGTTGATTGAAAATAAAAACATTTGGTAATAATTTTTTATTTTTTTATTTGAAACTTTTAAATAAAGATTTGTTTAAAAATTATTCTGCTTTAAAAAAATTGACCCAACAAAAATTAGTAAAATGATTATTATGGTACATTTAAGTTTATTTCTTATTTTAAGAATTTTGAAAATATTATTACCTATTTTTATATAAAGATTACTTGAACTCAAATATAACGTTCATATTTCTGGAAACATTAAAAATTGATAAAATGTAATTCTTAGTGTACTGTGTTTAGTTTCTTTTAACAGTTTCATAATTTAATATAACAACTGTGCGTTTAAAATTCATTTATATTTTCTATAAAATATTTTTGCTAAAATAATGAAGACTAATAATCTATCTATATATATAATTCTCTTCTTGGAGACGTTAGAAAACAAGCTGTAAGCGCGCCTTGCAGTCCCCTCTCTTCCTCTCTAGGAAGTCTGGTGAGCTGTGGTTCACGCTAAATGTTTAGTGACGGCTATTAGGGGCAGATAATTTAGTTTGAAACGATTTTAAAGAGGAGGCTGCTTTCACCGGGGGGGGGGGGGGCTGTAGGGTAGGGGTTGGGGAAAGGAGGGTGGGGGTAGTATTGTCCTTAACGACCTACTGATAGTGTTAGCAAATATTTTCAGTGGCAGCATTGGTACTGTCGAATCCACAAATTATGAATTACTGAAAAGTAGAAAATAAAACAACTAAATAGCGGCGTGTGATACGCGGGTCGGCTCGTATATATATAATTTTCTTCTGGGAGAAGCTAGAAAACAAGCTGTAAACGCGCTCCCTACCATCCCCACCCCTACATGGTCTTAGTGAGCTGTGGTTCACGCTATGTTTACCTTTGTGGAGTCGGGTTTAGTGACGGCTATTAGGGGCAGATAATTTAGTTTGAAACGATTTTAAACGTTTGGGGGGGGGGGGGTTATGGTCCTTAACGAGCTACTTATAGTGTTTTAAAGAAATATTTTCAGTGTCAGCGATTGTACTGTCGAATTCACAAATTATGAATTACTGAAAAGTAGAAAAAAACAACAACTAAATAGCGGCGTATGTTATGCCGCGGGCCGGCTCGTTTTTTTTATTTCTATAGCAAAATTGAAGGGATTATACATGCAATTTAGACCTTTTACTCCAATTTCAGACTGCATTTATTATTGGATTTGCTTCCAAAGCCTTGTCCAACAAAAAAAAAAAAAAAAAAAAAAAAACATACTTTTAATTTTGGCGTTGTCTCTCCTTGAAGTGTTGCTGTCCCAAGATCTTATCTGCCCGAGGGTTCGAACTTGAAACTTTTCAGTTTGATCTATAAGTTACTAAACGTGTCTTTTGTTCATGTTCCATGACGCTCAATCCCTCCACCCCTCCCCCCCCCCCCTTCAGAGGCGTAGCGACCCCTTCCGGTGCCCGTGGCGAACTTTCAGTGTATAATTGAAAACTGCAGCTTAAAATGAAATTTTAATTTTTTTTCTACCCCATTTGGCGTCCCCCTAGGTTCAGCGTCCGGGGCGGCCGCCCCTCCACACTCCCCGCCTCCTAGCTACGCCACTGCCCCCCTCTCCCCACCTTTCTAAAATGACGTCGCACTTTAGCCGACAGCCCCTAGTTTTCAGAAAGGGGATATAAACGAGTCATTGTAATTGTGCCAAAAATATTTGTGTAGTTGTCTCGCTTGTTATAGCTGTAGTAAACAGCTTGCTAGCTAGGTTTGTTAAATATAGTTTTTGTTTTGTTGTAAGCGAATTCTAGATTCTTTGATACATTTTCATAAAAACTAATAAAATAAACGATACATTTTCATAAAAACTAATAAAATAAACCGGGAGTAATCATTCCTAAACTTTCTCAAATATATATAACACTAAAAGGGATGGGAACTCAGGGAATAGACATGATTTTTAATCCATTTTTAAAATACAATAGAATATCTCGTACAAGGCAGAGTCTTTTATTTACTTGTGAAATTTCATAGATCTATCAGAAACAATAATCAACTGCAAAACAACAAATTTGATATAATACTTATTTATGAAATTTCATCAACCTAGCTGTAACAGTATTCAAGTTATCGTGTTCACAGACACACACACAAACACACACACACACGCACACACACACACACACATACACACACACACACACACGCACACACACACACACACACAAACACAAACACACACACACACACAGAGAGACAACTATGTTTTTCCGTCTCAGGGAGGTGTAGGTGTAAAACGTCGAGAATGGCGAAAATCTTGATCTCATTTATTTGCACGATTACAATACTTCCTTTATATTTTGTTTACGAGACAGTAAAAACACAACGCAAGCACGTTATTCAAACATTCACATTTTTCTTTCATCCGGAGAGACAGTCGCTTATTGAAATTTAAATAAGAACGAAACATAGCATTGTAACTTAGTTAACTTAACATAGTAACATTGTCGGTGCCATTGTTCACATGACAGTCTATTAGTGATTGGATTGACTTTACCTTCATTCTGCACGTCTTTTAACACAGAGGATAGTCGAATACTATGATGAGCATATAGCACAATTTAAACTCGCCTGTAGCACACATCCCGGCTAGCATGTAGCACTCACACAGCTATCCTGTAGCACACAACCAACTAGCCTGTAGTACCAAGCTAGCCTGAAGCACACACCCAACTAGCCTGTAGCGAACACCCAGCTAGCCTGTAGAACATCCAGCTAGCATGTAGCACACACCCAACTAGCCTGTAGCACACACCCAACTAGCATGTAGCACACACCCAACTAGCCTGTAGCACACACCCAACTAGCCTGTAGCACACCCAACTAGCAAGTAGCACACACCCAACTAGGCTGTAGCAAAAAACCCAATTAGCCTGTAGTACTCACACTTCTAGCCTGTAGCACACCCAACTAGCAAGTAGCACACACCCAACTAGCCTGTAGCACACACCCAACTATCCTGTAGCACACATCCAACAAGCCTGTAGCACACACCCAACTAGCCTGTAGCACACACCCAACTAGCATGTAGCACACACCCAACTAGCCTGTAGCACACACCCAACTAGCCTGTAGCACACACCCAACTAGCCTGTAGCACACACCCAACTAGCCTGTAGCACACATCCAACTAGCCTGTAGCACACACCCAACTAGCCTGTAGCACAATTTAAGCTAGCCTGTAGCACAAACCCAGCTAGCCTGTAGCACACACCCAACTAGCCTGTAGCACAATTTAAGCTAACCTTGTAGCACTCACTCAGATAGCCTGTAGCACACACCTAGCTAGTTTTGTAGCACAATTTAAGCGAGTCAATATGACACCCACATTATATTGCAAACCGATCATAGCTTTCAAGTTAAAATTCATTACACACAAATTTTGATCAACTATGAAGTATAAAGTGTCTCAGACACCAAAGGAAATTAATCCAATTAATATATTATCTGTCCGGTTTTTTTTTTTAATGTGGCTCTTAATTAAACCGCTGGGTCAAAACTGACAGCATGGAGTGGAAAGTAAGTCAAAATTATTCAAATACCAATTAGTCTTCAGTCGATTGGCATTTCAATTGTTATATATTACGTTGTCGTTTTGTAGAAAAATACAGCAAAATAACAAGTACATTCATAAGTAGATGACCCTGTCTGTAAATTGATTGTACAAGCTGCTGATGTAAACCCCGACCATAATACCAAGGGGTGATGAATCATTGAACGGCGTTTTGACAAATTTCATATATCTATTTTAAAATAGAGTAAAAAAATATAATGTGTATACAGTTATTATTTTAGAATGTTTAAAACTAGCAAGCTTTTATTTTAAAAACAGTAAAAAACGAGATTGGAGCGTAATTTTTATTTAACAGCGATATGTGCCCGAGTTGACCGTGCGTAGCTCAGTTTCCCGACTAGCGTCCCGGTAAAATGCGGGCTCGGCGCGCTGGTCGCACCAGTGAAGGTACAAGTACGTGTCCGTTGCGTGAAGCACAGTGTTTCTTCCAGACTTTTTTCACCGGGGGGGGGGGGGGGGTACTTGATATTTTCGAGGGGGCGGTCAACATTTTCCGGGGGTCGGACATTAGTAAAGGTATATATTTTCTATGTAAATTCCATTTCCTTCGGGGAGGGGGGAAGGAATGGCGGTAGACTTTCTTCACAGCTATCATAGATAGAGTTGGGTATACAGAAGAGGTGACACCAAACTGGTTATAGTTAAAAAAACAACTTTAAAAAGAAAAAGCAGCGGTGTCTCGGAGATTGAAGTAGTTTTTTTTTTCTTGCGTTTTTTTTTTAAAGTAATTTGTATTAGATAAATTTAATCCTGATAAGTAATATTCTTGAAATATTTTATGTAGAAATGTTTAGCTTTAGCACACATTAGTGGAAAAACATTAAGTTTGTAATTTGGCGTGGTATGGTTGATAATTCTCTAAGTAGCTAAAGGTGGGTCAGGTACCCTTCAACAGAGGCGTAGCGACCCTTCCCGGCGCCCGGGGACAAACTTTCGGTTTTCAACCCCCTCCCCCCAACTTTTGATTTGCAACCTCCTCTCTCAAACTTTGCACCCCCCCCCTCAAACTTTTGATTTGCACCCCCTCAAAATTTCGATTACTTTTTCCAACCCATTTTGGCGCCCCTTAGGGTCGGCTCCCGGGGAAATATGTCCCCCCTGCCCCCTACCCCCCCCCCCCCCCCATCGCTACGGCTCTGCATCAATTCGACATGGACATTGGTAGCAGCTTCACAAAGAATCAGATTGGGGGGGGTGGAGCATTTTCTTTTCGAAATATGGCTAATATAAAACGCTGGAAGTCGCGGTCACATTGTAACCTGGTCGAAATTTTCTCCTCGATCATTTTGCCGGATGCGAGCGCCCGCCAAATTTTTAGCGCACGTGGCACCGGCGTGTTGCTGATCCGGCATCCGACCACACTGCTCTGCTCTGCTCTAGTTAGTTCTTGAATGGAAGCAAATCCAGAAAAGATGCAGGCTAAAATCGGAG